AGAGAGAGAGAGAGAGAGAGAGAGAGAGAGAGAGAGAGAGAGAGAGAGAGAGAGAGAGAGTGGCTTAATGCTCTTGCATTGGTCAGTTTTTATGGCTATAGATATATGCATCCTACACATATTAACTACATGCATGTAGTCATTACCATAAACTAGATCCTTTCCCCGGGCTACGTCCGAATTTTCCCACATTTTTAAATTGAATTTAATTATTTTATAATTTGTATTTGAGCATATATTTTTTTATATTTAGACTATTTATACTATATAAAATATCAGAAAACTTTATAATTTTTATTGCTTTAGGTGACTACAGTTTTAAAATTGTTAACATTCATTTTTTCAATATCAAAAAAATACATATAAGCTGGTAAGCATTTCGAACATTTTTTTATTAGTCTTATTAAGCTTCGATTATTCTTTTATAAGTTTAAAAGAGTTTCAATGAAAATATGATTAAATTAATATATAATTATAACTTTTGTTTTAACATTATGATTAATTTGAGTTGCATTCTTCTCGACTCAAAAGCTCATAGATTAGGAATCAATTCTTGTGAGTTTCTTCTTTATCTATATATGTATCATATATCTCGTTTTAGATGAAGATACATAATGAATTATATGTACTATATATGATTTAATTTAATTGTACTGATATTTGTTTTTTTAATTGGTGTTTCTTGAAAAAAAAATTTCTAGTTTTTCATATTTGTTTTTTCTTTAGAAAGAATATGTGTACTATACACATATTCTTGTTTTTAATGTAATTATGTGTTGGAGAATAGTATTTTTTATATGTATATTTTAAAAACACAAGAAATATTATATTGATTTTATACATGTCAATTATTTTCTGAAGCTAAATACTTGTTGGAAGTTAATATAACTTGCCGAAGTTCCATATCTTCGGTGAAGTTCCAGTTAGAAAATTAATAAGAACAAAATATCAGTGTCACTGAGTTGGATCTTGGCAAGAAACAATGATAAAAAGAAAAATACATGAATATCAGTAAATATTCAAATCAAAGCTGAGCAATGACGTTTTCAAATTGCAATGAACTATAGTCACAACTAAAAGTAAATTTTACAAAAAGAACACATTCATATGAACACTTCTTCCCTAGGTAGTACGCAAGCTTCATCAAACATTCGCTTCCCGTTTCGAAACCATAATTAGAATCAGAAGCTTATGAAAACTTTCAAAATCTCGTTTTCTATATAATTACTAAATAATGACATTACACTTCCATTTTGGAATCACTTTTCGGTTTCTAAAACCAAATGTTATAAATAAATTAAAAATATAATATTTAAGTTAGGTTATTACGTTTTTAATATTATATTAATTTCGAAGATTAATAGTATTGAAATAGAAAAAAATATATGCAAACATTAAAAATAATAGTATAAATTATCTTTGAGCACAATAGTTTTTAAGATATATTATAATTCAAATATAGTGTGTAACTTATCTACGAAATATTAATACAATTAATTTGATTAATTGAATAATATGTTATTATGAACTTATGATTTACATCGAAATTATAAAACGACACTTATTTCAAAACGAAAAATTTATTTTATAATGACAAATAAATTGAAACGGAGAGAATAAAAAATAAAAAATATGATTAGTTAACATTTTTAATAAATAACTTCAAAGTTGGGAATATATTAAGATAACATACCTTTAATTTCCATTATATTTTGTATAGAGTATACTTTTGTATAGAGTATACTAAACTTTAAATAATGGAAATATAGTTATAAAAAGGTAAAACAAGCAAATCAAAAACAAATTTGATGTCGTGTTTTTTATTGGCTGTAACACACGTACTTAATTTCTAACAGAGTATATATCAAAATTGATTAGCCTTTACTGATGTCTTATACACCCAACATGTAACCATTAACCTAAACGATATATATACTCACACGCTGAGAATAAGAGGGAGGCATCATCGATTTGAGAATGGAGAGAAAATGATTCATCTGTCTTCTCCGGTTACGCTCGACGGCGATATGATATATCATTTGGTTCTCTTTCTCTTCTATCAAGTGATCACTTCACGTTCTCCTCCTCTTCCTCTTTTTCAGCGGCGGTTCTTCACTGAAACCACCTCGTGCTCGTAGAGAATATAAGTTGTCCGTTGAAATAGGTTGTTGCTCTGCTAAGACTTTGTAGCTTGATGATGTTTCCATGAGTGAGAAGCCATATGGATACTCTTGTTGAAACATCATAGTCTCTAGTCTCCCTCTCTTTCTATCAATCAAACTAAACTAACACAAAATTTGGGAAGCTAATGCATAAAGTAGAGTACCTTTATCTTCTTGAAAACTGAAAAGGTTGGGACTGTTTTCATCATCAAAAGGAAGGGTATCACAGAGTAGAGCATACAATATAACTCTGCAACTCCATAGATCTACTTCAGGTCCAACATATAATTTTCCTGATATGACCTAGGAAGAGATGATTCATTAAAGTTTCAGATAGATACTCATAGACATAAGGAAATAAGAAGACTGAAACTATACTATAACTAATTACCTTGGGAGCAGTGTAGTTGGGGCTTCCACAGCTTCAGAAAATGACCATCACGCAGACCGAGCCCAAACTCAGCAATCTTAATATTGCACCTCTCAAGGTTCAAGTATCTGTGGACAACCATGGATTATCTGTTCGGATATGAGTCAAAAAAGTAGCACTACTCAAAACTCAGAGAAGGAAACTACAAAGACAGTGGCTGTGGGTGAGTAAGAGTAAAAAAAAACCTGCTGTAAAAACCCTCGTACTTGGCATAATCCATAACAACCTAAATGTCATCTAGGATCTCTATGAATTCATATTGGCGAATGATATGAGGATGCATAAACAGCCTGAGAATCTTAATCTCCCTCCCCACTGTAAGGAAGAAAGGAACATACATCCAGATAATCAAAGGCAGGTCATTTAGAAACATACAAAGCTAGAGAGCTTAATGTGTTTACCTTTTTCTTCCATTTGCATGTTTTTGATCTTACGGCGATTGAGGATTTTGATAGCAACCTTGTGGCCAGTGAGAAGATGCTCATCAGTTTTAACCTTGCCAAAAGAATCAAATGCCAAATCGTTGATGAATGATCCATTTAATTCCTCATGTCCTAATGATGCAAAATCGAAAGTCTTTGCAAAAGCTCTCTCTCTCTCTCACTCTCTCTCTTAACAGCTTCTGTAAACAAAGACCATGATGATCGTCTCGTATTCATATAATCCTATGTCTGGCTGCCACACCTAAACCTAAAACCACCAAGAGATCTGACAACAAACTGCACTATTTTTAGTAACAATGGTTTGACTCTGCAACTAAATCGGAAGTTCTAAAGCATTTTACTCAGTATATAACCATCTCAAAATCTAAAAACTGATCAATTTGGTATAAGCAAAATAAGAGGTTATGGACTTTACAAACAAAAAGTCAAATCCACCTTGTTTCTGAGCATATCGCAGAATAAATTCGAAATGGAAATGATGCAAACAAAGAGAAAAGTGGTAAGTTTACACAGAGAATCTGGACGAAGAAGAAACATGAGCAGCGCTAGCTTTCAAATCGGCCCGGAGGATGAAGCTGAAGACGTTACGGTGAGCTCGACAATATGCTTTTTTGGCACGAAAACTCAACAGTGTGATTGAGTTCAAGAACTTATGGCTGTAACTCTGAAAACATAGAAGGGTAGGAGACGACTAAACCTAATCTGTCTGGGCTTTTTCTATTAGAAGGTTTTGATGTGGAGCAAGAAAATACGTAGTAGAAAATATAGAATGAGAAATAATGGAAGAAGAAAGGAAATCAGGAAAAATGGATTAAAGGAAAATAATGATGAAGGGATTAAAGCTGAGGTTTGATTACAGAGAAGAATAGGAAACGGAGATCGAGGAAGACGAAGTTGAAAAGACCACGCTTTGTCTGGGCCAGAGTGAAAACAAATGCCCATAGCTTCTGAGCACAATTACAATAACAGCCCAATATACCGAAGCCCAACATAAATATCAATTATTTATGCTTACGTGGCATACCTCATATGCTCTTATTTATAGCTTTTAATAGTGTAAGATTTTCACCTTCATCCGTAAACCAAGAAGAGAGTATGGACACCAAGATCATTTCTCATTGCGGAATTGGGCATCACCCTTAGGTCAACATTTTTTCCATCCATGCAAATTTCCTAATCTTTATCTATTTCTGTGCAAATGACTCAACACTTTTCACAAATAACTTCACTTATATATATGTTGAATAAACAGTTTGGATCTATTTAGAGAAATTGTCACTAATACCATTTTCAAGATGCCATTTTTCATGTTTACAATAACCATAGTTACCCTTACTTTTAATGAAGTACAAAAGACATTTATAACCATTTGATTAACATTGACCAAAAAACATATGATTAACTACTAAACTTAAAACCTCAACTCTAAAACCTAAACTATCAATTCTAAACCCTGAAATATTAATTCTAAACCCTAAACCCTAAAACATCAACCCTAAACCCCAAAACATCAACTCTAAATCCTAAACCATAAACCTTCATTTCTAAACCCTGAAACAACAACTCTAAACCCTAAACCTAAATCTTAAACCCTAAAACATCAACGCTAAACCTTAAATTGTAAACCTTCAATTCTAAACCCTAAACCATCAACTCTAGACCCTAAAAAAAAATACTAAACCCTAAAACATCAACTCTTTACCCTAAACCCTATATTTTTCCAAAATTCAAACCTTAAACCCTAAAATATCAAATCTAAACCCTAAACCCTGAATTTTTTGAAATTCAAACCTATACCCTAAATTTTAGGGTTTAGGATTTAGAGTTTAGGGTTTAGGGTTTAGAATTAATATTTTAGGGTTTATTGTTGATTTTTTAGGGTTTAAGGTTTACTATTTAGGATTTAGGGTTTAGAGTTTGGAGTTTAGGGTTTAGGATTTATAATTGATATTTTAGGGTTTAGGGTTGATTTTTAGGGTTTAGGTTTTAGGGTTTAGGGTTCATATTTCGAGAAAATATAGGGTTTAGTGTTTAGGGTTTAGAGTTGATAGGGTTTAAGGTTTGAATTTCAAAATAGTATAATTCGAAAAAAATAAAAAAAGTATTTTTGTTTTTTGTGTTTTTTATTTGTTTAAATTTTTTTTATATCTATATACATATATATCAATACTATTAAAGTAGAATCCCTACTAGGATTTTGCCCTTGCATTTTTAAGTTATTTACAAATGACTGCCCTTCCCTTATTTAGATTTTATTAATTATTTTAAGCAACCAATCATAAATCAGATTTTTCATACCACCGACATTTGCGCCAGCCAATCTAATTTGGGCGGACGTAAGAGCACCCCCATTGAGGGTTCATGGGGGTGTCTCACACGGAAACCAAAAAAAAAAATTAAAATATAATATAATTGATAAACCTGGGTCGCTGAAGCTCTCTCTGGTCAACCTGTATCATCACTGTTCCGCGGGCCCCACGACATGTGGCGTCCCGCGATTAGCCAATTTTTTTTTTTTTTTTTTTTTTTTTAAAGAACAAACGAAAAAGATAAAAAAAAAAAGTTGTGAACACCCATTCCCTAGGTTCACTGATGGGGTGCTCTAATAGCATTTAGTTCAAACATATTTTGAACAATATATTATATTTCTATATTGGGGTAACTTAATACCAAAAGTAGTTAGGATTCGATATTTATAAAGTCTGAAACGGTCAACTTAACAAAACAAACTGGTTTTTGTTTTTTTTCTGTATGTGGGTTTAAAAAGCTTATTATGTTAAAAAGGCCATAAATTATGTGTCAACGAGATCCATTAAACCCTTTTAAATGAAGACAGATTTTAGAAGTCCAATTAAAATTCATAAAAAATATTGATTTGACTTCTAAAAATCATTACCATTAAAATAAAATCATTCATTTTAATGAATGATTTATGTTTTCCTAAATTACACTTGATCTTATGAACAAATTTAATTTTTTATTAATAGCCTTTTAGTCTTTTTTTTATTTGGGCCTAAAAACTATATACTAATGAGTTTCATTAATAGGCTGATTCTCTTTCAAATTTTATAAAAAAATTTCTTGCAAAAATATAATTTTTTGCGGGTCAGATGGGTCAAATTTTTTAGTCGAAAAATGATTCAACCCGCTACAGAGAGGGTTGGACGGGACGGGTCGGATTGAGTGACTGAAATTTCGTAACTAAATGATTTTATGAATTAATCACAAAACTAAAAAAAATTGGACCATTTAATTGTTAAATATACAATCTTTCTCAAGTACACATTTCTGGTACAACCATTGTTAACTTATTTAGAAACATAAAAAAAATATTGTCTGAGACATTATAAAATAAAAATTTCTTCATACCCGCATAATAACACAAGCAGTGATATCACTCAAATGTTTAACCCTAAGTGAATTACTCTCTCAGATAAGAGGTTCAGTTGTAGTACTTAGGGATCGAATCCACAGGGAACTAAGGATTACAATAGATATAATCTAAATGATTATGCTAGGTTGAAAAGGTTTAAAATAGTAAAATTGCAATTTGTAAGCAATGGTAAGTTGCTTAAGAGAATGAATTTTAGGTTTGAAACAATAAAAGAAAGAGTTAGATTTAAGGTTGCTATTCAGATAATCAGGATTATAATGCTATAGATGTTTTAATGAATTGCTTGCAAGATAAATGAGAACTTTGATTCTTAGATAGATCTAATAGCAGTCGCTAAATAGACACATCCATTGATCTTATTGCCAGCAATATCGACCGATGTTTTGACAGCGATATCGGACGATATGAGTTGCTGTCGATCGATGACTCTATAGGAGTATCGATCGATATAGCATAAGATCGAATCAAAACTGTGTTCACCAAGATCATAGACCGGCTCTCGCACAACCCTAGAGGATCTAAGCTCATGCCAAATGATTTCAAGACAATGATTAATAAGTTAAATCACATCCATAATCATACTCTAGGTAGCTACTCTAGAGTAAGCATTAGGGTTCATTTGGATAATGAATATCAACAATTCAACATTCCATAGTTGGGGCTAATCCCTCATAACTATTTGAACCTTAAATCTAACAAATAAATCTACTCAGACATAACTGAGAGATTCATGACAACTAGGTAATAATAGAAACTCATAGATAGAGGATTGAACTTTTGGTTCTTGGAACAACAAATCTCTTTGTGTGTTTCCTCTAGATCTAGAATTCTATAACCTTTAAGAAATTAAAATGAAAAGAAATACTTTATAGAATAGAACAAAGTAACAAGAAAAGTGTGCAAAGCTGTTCAAGTACAAAAGGTATCAAAAGGTATTAGAAACACAAAAAGCATGTCAAAGAACACTTTTCCAAACACAAAGGCAAAAACTATAAATAAGAGTTCCATCAGGTTAAAAACTCACCAGAGGCATTTTTGTAATATTGGGAAGACTTGGTCTTCAAGTCGGCCAAGTTGAACTTGTTCTCCACGCATCATATCGATCGATGGTACATGGTGTACATCGATCGATGGAGTATCTCGACTTCATCTTCAATAGAAGCGTCATCGATCGATTACACATGGTGTGTATCGATCGATATGTGTCCTCATTATCTGATCTTCATAGTCATCTCGGAAAACTCT